CTTTGTCGCGTGTTCACACAAGTCACTCGTTAACCTCAAAAATTAATAACCCCATGATGTCGCATTGAGCAAAGTAAAAACTTCAATAAATTGTTCCTTGAGATCAATAGTTTAGTAATTCGGAATTTAAGTTAATGTCCACTTCCAAGATCTAGGTGATATAGCTCCAGAGGTAGACTATAATCGTAACACAACTACTAAAAGGAAAGAAGATGGATGAAGTCTGGTCACATTCTCGAACTCAATAGACCCAAAAACTTAGTCAATACTGTATTCTAGCGATTTGACTTTGTATTCTAGAGATTTCATGGAATGTGCCGTCCAGTAGAGGAAAATGCATTGGTGGGTGTTTATACAACGTTATAATTAGGAAATTGTTTAGTTACTTCCACATAGACACTTCTGAAGATCGTTGGAGACGATTTTGAATTATAGGGTCTGAGACAGCTTTCTGGTTCGCCAACCAAGATCCACCGGCGTCTCACTCCTCTTAAGTGCAGCTCGTTCATTTTTTTTTTATCGAGAGATCACCATGCATGTGACGCCACTAGATAGTTTCAGACAAAATTATGCTCAAAACCGTGAATCGCTCGAAACTACAACTTGTATCTAGACATCTAAAAGATTCTCCTTTTCCGCTAATCTCTACCTTGATGTAGGTTCATCATATGTCATTCTTATCTAGGGAAGCTTTATCCCACAAATAAGCCCATTGTAAAAGAGTGTTGGGATTTATGTTATGGTGAAGGGCACAAAGCGTGCTTTGTGAACCAATAATGAAGATCTCTGAAAACTTTAAAGTAAGTTAAAAAAGATCTCTTTGGCAAATTTATAAAAGATTGGAAATCTTATTTTATGGAATAGAGGACGTTTCCATCAAGCATTGTTTCATATTATTCAATAGATATATAGTTTATCAGTAAGTGAGTATTTATTGCATCAGGAAAAACACTCAGCAGGTGTACGAGTCCTGTATACAAGCCCTCGTGAGGTTACAAAACTGTTACACAAAACCCCCCAACTATCACAAAAAGACCTGTGAACAGTGTTGCTCAAATCAAATTTCCCTGACTAATGAAGCCTATATCCAATATCACATTGTACGGCATGTTTTGGCTTGTAAAACCGTGAGAACAACGGAGTTAATGATTTCTAGCTCTCCAATCAAGGAAATGAAATGCATTTCAAGCCAGTTTGTATAAGCGACAAGAGAAAGATTTGCCTTAAAACTGGAAGAAGACCATTCAAGCTCTGCTTCCCACGATCCTGGATTCCTTTGCATGTTGCACAGCTGCCGAATAGAGTGTCATATACCTCTTGGAATAAGAACACTCAACGAGGATGAAGAGCCATAAAAGAATGCCTGGGAATATGAGAGGGAAACCAAAGCAATGATGCCAAATTACTCGAGGCTGCTTAAACCTTATCCCACTCCAAGCGCTACTCACCGAAATGCTTTATTTCGAGCAGTATTCCATATGATTTTTTCCTCACTGGAGTGAGGAAATGTAATTCCACAAACCGCTTGTATATGAACCAGATTATTAAACCTTGCACTAGGCCAAATCCAGTTAAAACTATCTATAATAGCAGCTGCTTTGGCTTGATAAGGCAAACCAGTGTCTTGAACCACTCTCCATCCATATTTGTCGAAGAGAGGACCATGCGTCCGGATGCCGTCGATCATGCCATAAGAATGTGTTATTGCCATTACCAATGATGTGCTCCAACTAAAGGTCTAGCATAAGTCCTTAGCCTTACGGTAGCTCCCCAAGAGTAAGAAGAAGAAACTAAAATAGGCAGTGTCCAAATGCTCCTGCCCCTTAGCATACAAGTATCAATTATCCAAGCCGCCCATCTAGAACCTGCCTTGGTCATAAGCAGCCAAATATCAAGCAAGATGCAAGCAATATTCCAATGACTAAGATCTTTTAGCCCAGTCCACCCTCTTTTTATGGAAGGCGTACTATTTTCCATGCAACTCTTGTAACTTTAGTACTGGTGGTATTTCCCTTCGAGAGGAAAGGTATACCCTTGCTTTCAATCCCCTTGATGAGTTTCTTCGGGAGAATGAAAACATTGCACCAATACTCTGCCCAACAGAGGTTACAAGCTGCAATCTACCTGCGAAAGACAAATCCTTAGAAATCCAGCTACATACCGCCTGCAGTGTTTTATCCATCAAAGGCTTGCGATCATTTCTTGCCACCTTGCTTGGAGTTTGAAGAATTCCCCGGTATTTAAGGGCGCGTTTGGTAACGCTTCTGTTTCTCTATTTTTCTATTCTTCTGTTCCCTGGAACAAAAAAAGAATAGAAATCCGTTTGGTAACGCAATTTATTTTTCTATTTCCTGGAATAGAAAAGTGGCCAAGAAATAGATTTGAAGCAGAAATAAAAAGTAGAAAAAATCTACTTCTTTGTTCCTAAAAATAGAAATAGAAATAGAAAGGTCCGGTCCTCAAGTCGCGACCTCAGCTCCTCCTCCATCCTCCGTCGTCTACAAACCGTCTCAAAGCACCGGTCCGGTCCATTCTCGGCGGAAATAATAAAAAAATTATAAAAAATTAAAAAATTCCAAAAATTCATAAAAATCAGAAAAATTCTCAGAAAATCCATAAAAATCAGAAAAACTCAGAAAACCCATAAAAATTTGCAAAATTCCGAAATTGAAAAAATTTAAAAAAATTCATAAAAAGCCTTCTGGAAAATAAAAAGAGACAAATTTCGGGAAAGTAAAAAGTTTTAATAAACTTTTCCCCAAAAAAACAAAAATAAAAAATTCACATAATGGCTTAGAATAAATTAAAAAATTCCGAAAATTCATAAAAATTAGAAAAATTTCAGAAAAATCCCATAAAAAATTAGAAAATTAAAAAATTCCCAAAATTCATATAAATCAGAAAAATTCTCAGAAAATCCATAAAAATCAGAAAAACTCAGAAAACCCTTAAATATTTGCAAAATTTCGAAATTGAAAAAATTAAAAAAAATTTCATAAAAAATTTTCGGAAAAATAAAAAGAAAAAGATTTAGGGAAAGTAAAAATTTTTAATAAATTTTACCCCAAAAAAATATAAAAAAATTCACATAATGGCTTAGAATACCTGTGGCCACCCACTTTGAGTGAAATTTAAATTTTTGAGGTGCCCAAGTGGTATTTTTGAAGATTCCTTAGTTTAGGGATTAAAAGGGGTTTTAAACCCATAAAAAGGATTAGACAAACCAATAAATCATGCTTATTGATTTTTTTCACTTATAACTTGTACTTATAGTTAAATAAAAGATATAGATTTGAATGCAAAAAATTGGAAATAGAAATTTTGTGCAGTTACCAAACGCATTTCTGTTCTTTTTCTATTCTAGGAATAGAAATTTTGTGCAGTTACCAAACACATTTCTGTTCTAGAAATAGAAATTTTGTTCAGTTACCAAACGCATTATTTTGCTCAGAAACTCTTCCAGGAAATAGAAATAGAAAAAACTATTTCTGAAAAGAAATTGTTCCCAGAAATAGAAACGTTACCATACGCACCCTAACAGGAAGTTGGCTATGCTTAAATCCAGAAATATCCAAGATAGCCATTGAAAATATGCCTCAAGTTTGAGCATGAAGAGGAAACTTTCCTAATTCAAGTAAGTTTTCTATTTTGAACTCAATTATTGTGTGTGTGTCTATATATATAAGAACAGTGACTTCTTGTGAAGAGTATCAAAGAGGCTTCTTTGTGAATTACACCTGAGAACTTTTAGGGTTGAAGCCAATTAAATATTGTAAGTAAAATTTTGAATTTCTTCATGAGATTAAGAGATTTTTTGTGAAGAATTGTGAGGCTAAATACTGTGTAAGTTATTAAGTGTAATTGAGAGCTGTGAAACATTGAGAGTGTTCAAGTGACTCAAGTGCAATTGTAATATCTATCGTCTTACTTAATTTATAGTGAAATTTTTTGTTGCTCTCCCCGTAAACGTAGGTTATACCGATCGAACCATGTAAATCCCGATTTATTTTCTTGTTATGTTTACTTTATTGTTTGATCGCCTGCTCTCATAACAATAGCTTGAAGATGGTCACCAAATATTCCTGCTCTATAAATCTCAGTCTTCACGGGATTGAGCTTAAGGCTAGACATGTGATAAAACTCCTCAAAAAGAAACGAGATATCTCTAACTCCTTCAGGTTTTCCATCCAAGAAGATAACACGATCATTGACAAAACAAAAATACAGAAGTGGTCCAGAGAAGCGTGGCCAGCTTTATGGGTAGTTAAAATTGTCATATCACAGGCATTGTCCTGAAATCTGGAAGTCAAGTGTATGAAGTGGTCTTTGACATTAAGTACATAATAAATAGCGAGCAGAAAAGGTTTAGGTCTTGTAGGATCTCCATCTGTCATTAGTAGAGTCTAATTAGGCTCAAACAAAACTTGATCTCAGCAAAGCACCAGTCACCAGTCCATAGGATTTTCCTTGAAGATGAATAATCTGTTAGCTAAAACATTTAAAAAAAAATTCTTCGCTATGCATTAGAATGAAAATAGTACTTTCCTTCTTATTTAAGTTTTGTGATAGTCATCGTTGCAGTTGAATCAGCATTCGCTTAACGATCTTTTTGAATTATCATACTGAAAATTGAGGAAGTTGTATTAAAAGAATGATTAATTTTGTCTTCGTTTACCAAACTTCGAAGGTTCCATCTCGTGCAAATCGCCAACAGCTTACAAGGAAGAGGCACCAAAGTCTGAGCCGTCGGGGGGCAGATTTAGTGCTAGGGTTTTATGCTCGACCGAGCATTAGAAAAATCAGTGGCAGTTTTGTCATTCCACCAAATGGTGATCCAAAGTTTCAAGAACGAACCTAAATAATTTCCATTCCTCACCCCTAGATAGAGCCTGCTCAAAGACAATCACACACTACTACTTCTTTCTTTCTTTCTTCTTCTTCTTCTTGCTCTGCTCATTTGAATATTCTCTTTCTGTTCTTTCGTGTGTGTGTGTAAGACAATGGCTGGATATGGCTACGGGGGGCCATATGGAGCTGGTGGGAGGTACCCACCTCCAGCTCAGCCGTATGGGAACCCATACGCAGTGCTGGCACCGTCCTCCTTTCCGCCGGGCACCGATCCGAACGTGGTCGCCTGCTTCCAAATGGCGGACCAAGATGGAAGTGGCCTGGTTGACGATAGAGAGTTGCAGAGAGTTCTTTCTTCTTACAACCAAAGCGTCAGCCTCCGCACAGTTCGCCTTCTCATGGGACTCTTCACTTTCACAAACACCAGAAAGATTGCTTGACCTCCCTCCCTCCCTCCCTCCCTCCCTCTCTCTCTCCAACTTGGGAAAACCCTATTTTTGTATCTAATTTCCCACAATGATCAAAGAGCAATTAGCTCCGTGCAAAATTCTTATGTTATTTCTCATTCTCTAGAGGGCGACAAGTATGACTCAAATTTACTTTGAAATGCTTGATATTTTGCAGGGCCAAGGGAATTCACAGGACTCTTTCACTGTCTTCAAATATGGAGGGTAAGAGCCCTAATTTTTTCTCATAGTCTTTGATCAGATCCACTCATCCGTAATTTCTAATCAAGGGAAAATTATTCAGGGCACATTTGAAAGATTTGACAGAGACAGGAGTGGGAAAATTGATGGGCCAGAGCTGAGAGACGCGCTCTTGAGCATGGGGTTTGTGGTGCCACCAGTGGTGGTTGACATGCTGGTCACTAAGTATGACAAATATGGAGATGGAAGCCGGGCAATCGAATATGATAACTTCATCGAGTATGCTCCCTCTTACATATCTTTTTTAAATGTATATGTGCCATTTCCACATAGTACTTTCAGAATTATTAAACATTTTCTTTCTCTTCCATGGTTTTATCTCGTGCAGGTGCTGCCTCATTGTCAAGGTAATTTCCTAGCTTATTAACATTATTTATTATTGGCAAAGTAGTCTTCATTCACTGATTACTTCCAAGGGTCAAACCTCTCTATTTTAGTTTGGAAACTGTTCTAACTAGCTATCTAATATGATGCCTCAGAGTTGAGGAAACCTTTACAATTTGCATAGCTAAAATTGTTATCTAAGAACTAGTTATTGATTATCCCATTTATACCATAAAAATGCATGATTGATTGTAAAGAGTAATCATGGGCACTGCGCGGCATCATCATATTCCCAACATATGGCGTCGCTTTGGCAGCGGCCTTAGGTCATAGAAAATTTAAAAATTCGTAAAGTTTGGTACATAATTAGTTTCTTTAATTTTTTTGGCTATATTCAACACGTGAACTGTCGGGAGCGCCAACAGAAGTCTAATATCGTCACTTGGGGTGATCACAAAGACGGAGCTCTAGTCTGTGCTCGTCAACATATCCGGTTGGACCCACATTCACTCAAAGGCTTAAGTCAATGAGCAATGGGCCAACTATGATATATCAACAATCTCTCCCTCACTTTTGAGCTCAATGTTAAGTATGCTTCCCCTTAGTTAAGGTATCCTACTGCACAAGATGTCTCAACTTGAATAATCAACGCCTATCGTCATCACAAGTCACTTTCTCCGGACCAAATCATGAAGGCCGCAATTGTACCGTGTTGCTGCACCACAACGCCCACCTTCACCTCAAGTCTCTTTTGCCAAACCGAACTATGAAGACTATCCTAACCACGTTGGTCACGTGATTCCTTTCTTGAGATATTCACCAAATACCAATACACATTGAGAGTGGCCATCAATCAACCATTGACTTTGGTACCATTTATTGGGAGCACCACAAAAGTTTGGTACTTAACCAAGGGAGATTGCTAAGATAAAGCTAAAATTTGAGCCTGTTAACATATCCAGTTGGATTCGCCTTCGCTCAAAAGCTTAAGTCAATGAGTTATAGGTTAATTATGATATATTATGTCACGCCCCGAACCCCAACGGGCTCGCGACACCCCTTCAACGGTCGTATTTAACGCGACGTCCCAGGACACACCGCCGACCCAAACGAACTACGCAAGCGGAAGCGAAATAAAACAACCTAGACAACTAACATGATGACAAAAGGATAGCACGAAACAATAATTGCATAACATCATAAAGCAGTCACTATTACAAAACGATAACCCAGGCTACCAATTTAAAATCACAATTTTCAAAAGAGGGCGGTGGTTGACAAGCTTATCTCCTCTACAAAAAAGGAACTCAAAATACCGGGTACTTGACCCATCCTCGATCTCCGAGACACCCTTGCAGCGTCTCCAATCACTCATGGTCGCGAATCTGAAATGGTTATATAATAACCGCGAGAACGAGTCTCAATAAGCAACCCCCTATACCCCACATAGGCCAATGTGTACCCAGACAAGTCGTACATGCAATCTACCCCATAACATATAAAATTCGCATCATTGTACTTACCTCGCCATCAAGCCCATGCCAACTCTACACGTCAGTCACAACGTGATAATACAATAATAATAATTCAATAACATATCACAATCGCTCAAACACCAACCACACTTGCACTCAATCAATGCAATTAACTCAACCACATATCCAACCAGCCAATTCAATCACACGCTCAACCAGTCAATTCAATCACACTCAAATCGCATGCATGGCCGAAATTCTTTCTCACGACCCGCGCCACTGCGCCTCAGGTCTATTTTCACTGCCCGCGCCACTGCGCCTCAGGCCCATTTAACACACCGGCTATTCATGCTTTCACACGGACCGCCGTCAACACGTCCCAAGTCCGTAGCCCTCCGATCAATCCGGGCTCAATTCTAATGACCGACGTAAACACGTCCCGGTCCAACACACCTTTAATGGGCCACCGTCAACACGTCTCAAGCCCGCATCCATTTGGCACACCGGCCATTCATGCCTTCACACGGACCGCCGTCAACACGTCCCAAGTCCGTAGCCCTCCGATCAATCCGAGCTTATAATCGACAGGCATACACACGTCATTCAATTCAATCAATTTCACGCCAATTGCACCAAGCGATCCACATTCACAACTCAATTTAATTCATGACACGCCACACCAACCCACAAACTCGACATTTAATCGGCCACGTATGAACATCCAAATCATGCATATAATCTCATCCAATCCTACTAACACAATTATATAATAATATGATTAACTTAAACCGCGTCCTAACCGTTTTGAACTCTAAACAAGTCTATAAAATACCCAAAGTACTAGGTAGGGTTTAGGAAGTCACTTACTTGGTTTTGGCCCGGAGAAAATCGGCTCGGGCCTAAAATGGCCCGGGTGAACAGTGCTGGGCTAGGCACGGGCGCGGGCCAAACGGGCGCGCTGACCGGCCAACACGGGCACGGTGGCCGAACGGTGCGCCTGGCGCACGGGCGCGGTGGCCGAGCGACGTGCCTGGGGCGCACGGGCGAGCTGGACGGGCGACGTGCCTTGGCGACGGGCCGGCTGAACGGGCAACGCGCCTGGGCGTCGGGCGAGGCGCCGGGCCGGTCGAGCGGGGCGCCGGGTGCACGGGCGAGCGGCCGAACGGGACGGGCCAAGGGCCGAGTAGCGGGCGAGTGGCCTGGTCGTGCGGGTGACGGGCCCGGCCACGGCCTGAGCAGCTGGCCCGGGGCGACGACGGCGACGGCTGGGGCGCGGCGACCACGACCAGGACGACGGCGGCGACTGCTGGCGTGGTCGGGTGGCGTCGGGCTGGCCGGCTGGAGCGACGGCGAGAGGCGGGAAAGCGAAGGGGGAGCTGGAGGGGAGTCGCGACGGCAACAGGGACGTTGGGCGACGGTGACGGCGGAGCTAAGTCGTCGGGGCGGTGCTGGGGAGCTGACTGGACGACTGGACGGCGGCCGGGACTCGTCGGACGCGGCGGCTGGACGAGGCGGAGCCGAAACAGGGGAGAGGCCGGGGAGGAGAGAAACAGGGAGAGGGACTGGTCTCTTGGCGGTCGGAGGCGACACGGCGGCGCCACTGGTGGCCGGGCAACGGAGGACAGGCCGGCGGGCGGTGCCGGGTCGCGGCGGTCGCAGCGACGAGCTGCTGCACGCGCGCCTCGCGGGCAGGCCGGCGACGGGCGTCCCGGCGACGGACGGCGGCAAGGCTCGGTCGGGGCGACGGCGGCGACGGGGCTAGAGGCGAGCTCGGTCGGCGTCGGCTGGGGCGAGCAGAAGCAGACGCACGAGCAAAACCAGAAACGATGGTGCGGCGAAGGAGAAGGAAGAAGAAGAAGAGAAGAGGAAGGGAAAGGAGGAGAGAGAGAAGGAGGAAAGGGACGTGCATGGGGGAGAGGGGGAGGGGACGCGCGGGCAGGGGGGAGGTGATGGGCGCAGAGGAGAGAGAGAGAGCCAAAAGTCAAAGGTACTCGAGCGCCATCGAATGGTCCGATTTCAAATCCGGAAATGATCTAACGGTCCACGAAAAATCTCAATAATAACTAGGACAAAAGCCGGACACCCACACTAAATAAAATACACTAAGAAGGAGGTCTACTACTCCAAATCAGCACCCGGTCCAAAATTTCACTTTTCCACTATTCCTGGCAATCTCGAGGCTGGTCACAATAATATCGACACCGTCAAATTAAATTCATCCCGGAACTCCGAGAAATTCGGCACCAAAGTTTGGGCTCTAAATAACGGCCAAATTCGATCGAGTGCGATTCTAGCGAAATCTCTAATTTAAAAATAACAACCGAGAGAGATCAGTTCTCGGGCGAGATTTTACTATAAGCACAATGACGAATTACACGTTTTATAAATCCCAAAAATGGGCCGAAATTCGGAATGTCACGTATTAACCTCCTATATCAGGGAAAATTACCAAAAAAGTCCTAAACCTTTTGCAATTGTGCCAATTCAATCTTAAACCTTTTTTTTTAGCCAATTCAGTCCTAAACCTTTTCCAATTGTGCCAATTCAGTCCATCTGGCCACTTTTGGCCGGGCGACGCTGACGTGGACGCTCGCCTGCCGGCGTGGCAATATTTTAATGATTTTTTTTTCGAATTATTTTTATTTTTTTTCTTTCTTTTTTTTCCCTATCTTCTTCCCCGGTCGCCGGTGCGGCGACCGGCGAGAGGTTGTGTAACAGCCCGAATTTCGATGTAATTCCGGGATCAATAAAATTGACATTATTTTGCATTTCATTTTAGTAAGTCTCGCCCAGAGCTGATCATTCTCGGGATACTAACCAATAGGGTATGGCTAATTAGGAAACGATACGTGGACCAAGGACCTAATCGCGAAGCGGACACCGATCACGAGAAATGATGGGAGAATATTATGAACCAATGTGGATCGATCTTAGGAAAGGTGACAGATTTGGTTTGGCCAAGGCCAACGATGTACAATCGGATCGCAGGTGATTCTGCATAACCGAGAGTGCACGTGGCCAATCAGTCTTGAACTTAAACCGGACGATCGTGACTTCCGGGACTAGTGATAATTTCTCATTCTCTCAATGATCGGACCGTTATGACTCGGATAACCCTAGGTCGATACGCGTAACCTCTAAACAGCCGCCCGTTAGTGAGAGACCCTGAAATTGAAAATTTAGCGAGTTTTGGTCACGAAATTGGACCCGGACTTCGGTGTCGATCTTCGAGGACTTGTACAGCTATTTTCACGATTCTGACATCATATTATGCTGACCACGCACGTTTGGGGATAGTACGGTCGAAAAATGGAATTTCTACCCGGAAGTCAAAAATTACGATTTTGCCCCTCGGGACCCCGACGTTGATTCTGAGGCCGTCTGAGGTTACTTTTCGCGGCCGATATCATTTTAGGGTGGCCACGCGCATTTAGATTGGTTTCGGTCAAAAATTGGAATTTTGGCTCGGAAGTGAAAAATAATATTATTTTATCCCCAGGAATTTGCAGTCGATTTTCAAGAGCTTAAGAAGCTATTTTCGCGATTCCGACGCCATATTATGTTGGCCACACTCATTTAGGATTGATATAGCCAAAAATTGGAATTTCGCCCCGGGACCGGAAAAATGACCGTTTTGCCCCTGGGCCGTTTCGGGTCCGAATTTTTGAGAAATTATTTGGGATAATTATGGAGGGTTTATCAGCTCAATTATTGGCCCAATTACCTTTTCGCCCTCAATTATTTGGATAGGGTTAAATTAAGGCCGTTAGATTATGGGTGTTTTGGTCATTTTCGCGGATTGGCGACACTTGGCACCCCTAGCCCCTATTATTTGACCAATTTAAACCTGTTTCTCTCTCCTCTCACCCCCATCTGGCCAGAACTCTCTCTCTCTCCTCCCGAAATCTCTCTCCCTCTTTTGTTCTCTCTCGGCCGGCCGCCGGAGCGCCGCCGCCGGCCACCGTGCCTCGCCGTCGACCACCTCAATCCCTAGCCTCAGCCTTAGCCTCACCCGACCCCTTTCTCTCTCTCCCTCTCTCTCTTTCTTTCCCTTTTTCTTCCTGGGATAGCACCGCCGCCGCGCCGGAGCCTCACCGCCGCCGCGCCGGAGCCCGATCGGCCGAGCTGTTGCCACTATGACGTTTCCGACGTCCGTACGTCACTGTTCATCTCGTCTGTACAGTGTCCGTACGGTCCGTACACCGCCGTCCGTACGTTGCCGCCGGGAACGCCGCTGCCGGTTCCACTGTTCACTAGTGATCGGCAGCCGTTCCTCGTCGTCGTGAGTTGGATTAAGTGAGTGTATTTCCTAAACCCGGATTAGGACTGATAGTGCATTTTCTAGACTGGGTTGAGTATTGTCGGTGTATATTGGAAAAAAATTAGAGTACCATTTGATGAGGTATATTACTAGAATAATATTGGTGATTTATTGGGCGAGCATGGATTAGTTGAGGATTAGGTGACTGGACTGCCGGGTATGCCCGGGGCTAACTGACTTGTTGATTATTGTGCCCATTTATTGGGGAATTGAATAATGCCATGTCGTGTGCTCGTGTGGCCGACTCGTGCGGAGTGTGATCGGCCATTTGATGGCTTGAGTGGATTATAGAATTACATATTGTAAATTTGGGCCACATGGTATTAATAGGCCAAGTAAGCACGTGGCTTGTGAATTAGGCACTGTGGATTAACTTTGATTGAATTGTGTGCCTGTGCTTATGTTATGTGGATGCTCATGTTGCATTTCATGGCACGCGTTATGAATGCCGAGAATGAGGCTTGTGAGGAAATTGTGTGAGACTGTGTGCCTGTCATGAGCATGTGATCACCTAAAATACCCTGATGCGTGTTACGCGGGGTTCAGATAATAACTGGATGTGTGTATGTGTGATCACATTTTGCCCTGATGCGTGTTACGCGGGGTGTGCCGTCCTCATGCACTTTGAAGCAGGACGATGCCCGGTTCGTCCGGAAGACGACCATCCTGATGCGTTTTACGCGGGCTCTGGTTCATGAGGAGATTAGTGTTGCGCCTCATGCACTTTGAAGCAGGCAAGAGACACTGGGCCAGATCGGTGTTGCGCCTCATGCACTTTGAAGCAGGCTAGACACACCGGGCCGGGAATTGTGTTGACTCGAGTCGTAATAAATATTAATAATTGAGACAGTGTGCAGTGTGAATTGAAACGGGAGCATGGCATAACATTGACATCACATGCATAGAATGCGTGACCCGGCATGCGAGATGAACGCTGTGAGCATGAGCATGTGTGTGGCGCACGTATGATCATTGTATTCGCACACGTATCTTGAGGACATTTAATGAACTGCCTAACCTGCAGGGAAATTCCTATGTTCTATCTGGGCCCGAGGGCCCAGGTTATTGTTTGCGTATTATGTTGTTTTGACTGTCAGGAGATTGCATGTTAGCCTAGCCTAGGTTTAGGGGTTATACTCATTGAGATTCGTCTCATGGTTGTAATAACCCACCTTTTCAGACCCCCAGCCATAAGAATGCCGAATCCATCGCTTTTTGGAATACCTATACAGATATATCAGTATACAAGTACATACCCCGCAGGAAATGGGGAATCGTATGTCAGATACCGATCCATGGTGTTTGTAAACGTGGGAGAGTATTTTCATCAGACTCAGGAATATGTAGCTTGGTGCTTGAGAGATGCAGATGGAAACCTCGGGCAACCCCTTAGGACTTTTGATGTGCCGGTTGATCAAGATGGATTGATGGATCCACAAATGGCTGATGGTGAGATTGTGGATCCCCAGATCATAGACGAGCCGGTCAATGAAAATCCGATACCCGCGATGTGGTATGAGGACCCCGAACCGATGGAAGAGGAGCCGGAACCCGAGCCGATGGATCAAGACTCAAGCGAGGACGGAGAAGTCGCTGAGGTAGGATCTGACGAAGAGCTGGGAGTGGACGACGATCTCTACCTAGATCCAGAGTTGGAGTAGGACTCTGAAGATGAGCGAGCTCAAGCCGAAGATATGGATTCTGAACCGTCCGAGTCTTCAGAGAATCCTTTCGAGGAGCCGTCGGATGACACTACTGGATCTTCCGACCCTGAGTGGGAACCCTAGGTTTATCTTGAGCCATAATTAGCAGTGAGGACTGGCAACTTTTTGGCTGTAGCCCTCTCTTTGAGTTAGTCTGACCTCCCTAGCCACTTCCCTTTTTGACCTCGTGGCATGCTGATCGTATAGGTATGGACTTGTATCTTTTCATGGTTGTGTATGGATGTTTGTAAAGAAGTTTTCAATAGCAATGTAAAGTGCAAGTATGTTTTCTTCGTTGTTGGTTACTTGTTTGGTTATCCTTGGCTCATGTATATACTGTCAGGGTTTATTATTTATTATTTCCGCTTGTGCTTTACTCTCTGTTTGGGCGTTGGGTCGGCGACGCTTCCTGGGAGCGTTGCACCATAATCGACCAAGGTAGGGATGTTATCGCTTCATGGGGTACGGGGCGTGACAGGCTGAGGCCGGCGAGGGCGAGCCTCGCTGTCGCCGAGCGAGGCCTCGCCAGATCTGGGCGGCCTCACCGTTGCCGGGTGGGCTTGACCTCGCCCGATCATGGTGAGGTCGACCTCGCTCGGTGACGGCGAGGCCGCCCAGATCTGGCGAGACCTCGCCATCGTCGGGCGAGGTCGAGCCTTGCCATGGCCGGGCGAGGTCGAGCCTTGCCATGGCCAGGCGAGGTTGAGCTCGCTCGGCGACGGCGAGGTCTTGCCAGATCTGGGCGGCCTCGCCGTCGTCGGGCGAGCTTGATCTCGCCCGTTCATGGCGAGGCCGCCCAGATCGGGCAAGACCACGCCGTCGTCGGGCGAGCTCGACCTCGCCTGGCCATGGCAAGGCTCGACCTCGCCCGGCGATGGCGAGGTCTCGCCAGATCTGGGCGGCCTCGCCGTAGCCGGGCGAGGTCGAACTCGCCCAGATCTGGCAAGGCCTCTTTGGTGCCAGCGAGGGCCAGCCTCGCCCATGGCCGGCAAGCTGGGAACTCGCCGGCCTCAGCCTCTCGCCGGTCGCCGCATCGGCGACCGGGGAAGAAGATAGGGAAAAAAAAAAGAAAGAAAGAAAAAATAAAATAATTCGAAAAAAATAAAAAAAAATTATTAAAATATTGCGGTGCCGACCGGACAAAAGTGGCCGGATGAACTGAATTGGCACAATTGCAAAAAGGTTTAGGACTTTTTTGGTAATTTTCCCTCCTAAACCACATCAATTCACCGATGTGAGGCTTTTTTTATTTTTACATAACTCAAATTTGAATTTCAGCTGTCTCCCCCTTATGTATGAGCTCAACGTTCGGTCTGCTTTTGCATTAACACGTCTCAACCCGAATCTCCAATCATTCGCCAATTAGTAAAAACACGCCTTTCACCTCCTCCTGGACCGAACCGTAGTGGCAAACTGCACCCGGCAACCGTGAACATCCATGGGATTCCTTGTTGAGTCAAAACAACCAATTAACAATCAGCTTTGTTACTATTTGTTGGGACGGCGCAGGAGAAGCTTGATACCTTTAGGTGGGGAGATCACCAAGTGGGAGACAAGTCCAAGCCTGTTAACATATTTAGTTAGACATACTTTTGTTCAAAAGTTTAAGCTAATGAGTTATAAACAAACTATAATTTATTAACTGCTCAATACCACGGCAATTCACCAATGTGTGACTTTTTTTAACCCGACTCACACATGCATCTCAACATAGATGATCCATAAATAGTTTGATTGTTTTTTCCCAATTGACTTCGGTGGATGGGGTATACACCAGTACCGAAATGATATTACTAAGTTATATACAACTAGTATATTGACGTCTTCCTTTGATCTATATGTCTTAGGGATTAACCGAGAAATTCAAGGAGAGAGACACCATGCTTTCTGGTTCAGCAACATTCACTTACGAGTCCTTCATGCTCACCGTCTTGCCCTTCCTCATTGCATAGAGACCAGAGTGTCTGGAATTTGGATCGTATATTCGAGTGCACTCGTTTCATTTAAATGTTCTCCAGAGTATGCTGTATAATGAGAGTTGATGTTTTTGTGTGCTGTTTAATTTTTAATTTTTTTTGTTACTTTCATCGCCATTTCCGGCAATACAATGCATTGCAAGTACTCCAATGGAGTTAGCTAAGATTTGAATGTAGCACGGCTGTAAAATAGATTGCCAAATACCACTGGAACAGTAACACTCAGTCAGGAGATGATCTCTTGTTTCATTAGCAGCTCCACATAAAAAGTTGGGGCGAACCCCAACTATATTATCAATTGCATCAATCTTTTCGTCCCGAAGATCATCAGAGCACTTACTATCATCAAGATTGTACTTCGAGATATAAGCTTGAGCAATCCTCCTCAAGGTCCGATGAAACCGGAACACCCCCATCACCAAAGGAATCTGTTAATCCAGTTTGAGGATCGAGGAAACAAGAAGCGAGCTTACGATCACCATTCGTCTGCAAAATTCGAGCTAGACAATGGAGGAGATCTCCTTGGTGCACATCAGCAATTTTGCGCCTCAAAGAATCAGGTTTCCCGCTGTGAGATTTTGGTGGGATCACAGCTAAATATTCTAAAAGCTTAAGCTGTTAGATAAATGCGTGATTTAATATTTTATTCTAATACTCCTCCTTACGCTTAGTCTGTCTTTTTGCCTAGTAATAACTGTGGACATATTTAATTGGGGAGGCAAATGGGGCCTGGAAAGGTTTGAATTCATGACCTCTAGCTCTGATATCATGTGAGATTTTGATGGGATCACAACCAACTATTTAAAAAGCTTAAGCTGTTAGATGAACGCGTGATTTAATATTTAATTATTCTATCACCCGCCATCGACGGTTTTGAGAGAATTTTCTCTCTTTAGGTGGTTAGAGTGAGGGTCCATTTTTTCTTTTTGGGTATAAAAGTTTGCTTGGAAAGGGAAAAATTGAACCTGAATTTTATTTATGAAAGTAATCGCAAAACATGCATTTTGGAAAGTTGCAAAAAAAATAAAAATAAATATATATATCTAATTCTCTCTTTATTACGCGAAAAATTTAGATATTTCTGAAAAATATTTTTCAAGAAGTCAATTTCCAAAGAATATGCAATGTTTTTTGGTGTTTGGTGGAAATATGAAATTAACTACAAATTATTTTTCGTTGTTTAGAAATGAAAAGTTGTTTTATTTTCCTAAATAGACATGCATTGTCCATGTGATACAAGAGCTATGCATATTTGTGTATTAGATTATTCATGCACTTTTCCTAATGACAGTCCTTGAAATTTTTAATTTGTCTCACAAAGGCCTTGAACGTATTATGATCAAATTCGTCCGGCTCCATATCTGGTTAAGTGAGCTGATGTGATTGTTAGAACTAGCAAGAGTTTTAATGTGAAAAAATTAAGTGCATTATATGTGTTGAGAAATTTCATTGCTCAAATGTTGGTCTTTGATTTTAAGTCTAATGAATTAAGCAATAAGTCACGGCATCAGACTTTTGCCGGCTTCGATGCATACGTCAATTACAAGTAGCCAAATTCGGAGCTGGCGGGAATTTATTAGAAAAGTCATACTATGCAAGTTCAGTGACTTGATTAGAAAACTTAAAAATCCAATGACTTCATATTGAAATTCTTGTTGGGTTTGCTTTTTACATATTAGAGATTAAGTCAATTCATCACCTAAATGGGGAAAATCCATAAGCTTACCTACCGAGTGGAGGCATATTTGGGTCGGATCATATTTAACATTGGGAGGACATTCTTCGGATAATAGAATTTTTTTTATGTAATGAGATGATTTTATTACTAGCAAGTGTCAAATACGAAACCACTACTAATTACAAGTTCATAGATAGTTGCTCTATTTAAATCTGAGACATAATATGATCTTACAATGTTAGGAAGAGAGTTAAAAACAAAAGTCCGATGCAGCTCTTTCATCCCCAACTTAGCCAATCGATCAGCACATTGATTCACTTCTTTGAACACATGGGAGATCCTTCATTAGGACCTTGAATTCATCAACTAGTAGGTACAAGTTTCTATCAATTCTCGAGCATGGTTGCCAAAAACACAGGCATGGGCACAAAAGTCTTGGGCCAGGGCTTGAGGGACTCGGGCCCAGCTGCTGATGTCCTGAGCCTAGGTGCCAAGGCCTAAGCTCGAGGTTCCACGTGAAGGAGCTAGGGTTTCTCAGGCCCAGTCGTTAAGAACTCGGGCATTGGTATCGGGAACCTGGGCTTGGCCTCGATGGACCCGAACTCAAGCCTCAATGACTTGGGTACTGGAGCCGAGTATCGGGGCACAATCGATGGGGACCTTGGTTACTTGGACATAGGCACCAAGGTCCTAAGCTCAGCCTCGAGAGACTTGAGTCTAGCCTTTGTGGACCCAGGCTCGATTGCCGAGGGCTCGGATACTGGTGTCTAGGTGCCCATGCCCATGTGTCGATATCTCAAGTCCAAGCGTCAAGTCTAGTCATATTTTCAGGAAATGATTTTTAATTTTTTTTAAAGAGGATATTATTTTTTTGAATTTAAGCATAAAAATTCCGTTGACTTTACAAGATTTTTCATTGACTTATTTTCTAAGTGTATCAAACGTTGGAAAATAAAGAAAATATTTTTCCATAATAAATTGTCTGCGAAAGAATCGGATAGGTTAAGTTATAGATTAATTTCTCTTTAACAGCTAAAACGCATATACTTCTTTTGAAGCCATTGATTGAATACATATCTTAAAGGTGAAGATATGGATATATGGTCCTGAGAGAATTATATCTTTCCCTGACCAATACCATTAATGAAGTGTGATTAGGCTTAAAGCCATTGTTGTTCTTTTTTCCCCTCTCTCAGGTAAATATCTATGGGGATATAATTCGTAAAAAATTGTCTTGTTAAAGAAAGAACATTATAGTGAGGTCCAGAGCAGCATCGCCAGCTTTATGGGTAGTTGATATTGCCATATATCGCATAGGCATTGTCCTAAAATTTGGAAATCAAGTGCATGAAGTGGTCTTTGACATTAAGTACATAATAAATAGCAAGCAGAAAAGGTTAGGTCTTGTAGGATCTCCATCTGTCATTAGTAGAGTTTAATTAGGCTCAAACAAAAACGTAATGTCAGCAAAGTACCTAAACTTAAAGCATCCAAGCATCCAAATGAGTCCACAGGATTTGCCTCGAAGATGAGTATTCAATTTGCTGAAACATAAAAGACAAATTCTCGGATGTGCATGATAGCCACTTGGTTCATCGTTCGGCAATCTGTTGACCGTTTCAAATTGTCGTATCGAAAATCAAGAAGTTGTATCAACGCACTTACCGAGGTATTGAGGGGGCAGGTCCACCAAGAAATTTGAAAAATCAGTGGCAGCCTTGTGATTTTACCAAATGGTGATCCCAAAATTTCAAGAATGAACCTATATTATTTGTTTTCTTCACCCCTAGATAGAACCTGCTCAAAGACGATCACACACTAGTTCTCCTTCTCCTTCCTCTTGCTCTGGTCATTTGAATACTTTCTTTCTTTCCGGGTGCATGTGAGAGAATGGCTGGATATGGCTATGGTGGTGGGTACCCAGCGCCAGCTCAGGCGTACGGGAACCCGTTCGCTGCGCTGACGCCGTCGTCCTTTCCACCGGGCACCGATCCAAGCCTGGTCGCGTGCTTCCAGATGGCGGACCAAGACGGAAGCGGCCTGGTTGACGATAGAGAGTTGCAGAGAGCTCTTTCTTCATACAACCAAGGCTTCAGCCTCCGCACCGTTCGCCTTCTCATGTACCTCTTCACTCACACAAACACCAGAAGAATTGGTTGGCCTCTCTCTCTCTCTTAATCTCTCTCTATCCAAGTTGGAAAAACCCTAGTTTTATATCTAGCTTGTCACATGTAGAATGATGCTAAATCGAGGAGGGAGAAGCATGGTTGAAAATGCCATGAAAAGAGTAAAGTAGTTATGCACAGTAAAAAAGGCCCTGGTGATGAAGCTAAGCTAGAACTTCCCACAGTGATTAAAGAGCAATTAGCTCTGCACAAAAACAATCTTATGTTATAACCTCCCGTTATTTGGGCTCATCATTCTCAAGTGAGGGACAAGTATAACTCAAAGTTACTTTGAAATGGTTAAAATTTTGCAGGGCCAAGGGAATTCACAGGACTATTTCACTGTCTTCAAATGTGGAGGGTAAGAGCTCTAATCTCTCCTTATAATCTTTGATCAGATCCTTTCATCTGTAATTATAATTAAGGGACGATTGTTCAGGGCACATTCGAGAGATTTGACAGAGACAGGAGTGGGAAAATTGATGGGCCAGAGCTGAGAGAGGCGCTCTTGAGCATGGGGTTTGCGGTGCCACCAGTGGTGGTTGACTTGCTGGTCACTAAGTACGACAAATATGGAGATGGAAGCCGGGCAATCGAATATGATAACTTCATCGAGTACGCTTCCTCTTATGTATCTTCTAATTTATCCTTAGTACTTACTTAATGTTTCTTCCAAATATATGTGCCATTTCCAAATAATAATCTTAGGATTTCTGAACATTTTCTTTTCTTTACATGGTGTTATCTCATGCAGGTGCTGCCTCATTGTCAAGGTAATTTCCTGGCTTATTAACATTACTAATTATTGGAAGGGTACTCCATTTTTTCACTAATTACTTCCAAGGGTCACGCCTCTCCATTTGAGAACAATTATCCTATTTATAAACAAATGCAGGATTGATTGGAAAGTATGGCCACCGGACTAGTGGCCTGGATTATTAAATAATAAAATGTTTGTAAAGTTTGGTATGTACTTTAGTTTCTCCTTTTTTTCGGCTAAATTCAACACGTGGACGATTCATAAATAGTTTGATTTTCTTTTCAATTGGCTTTGTGTGGATGGGGTATATGCCGATACCGAAATAATAGAACTAAGTCCATGAATTATATGCAATTAGTATATTGACATCTTCCTTTGATCTCTATATGTTTTAGGGATTAACCGAGAAATTCAAGGAGAGAGACACCATGCTTTCCGGCTCAGCAACATTCACCTACGATTCCTTCATGCTCACCGTCTTGCCCTTCCTCATTGCATAGATTCTAGAGAGATGGGAGTTGTTGCTGTTGTTTGCTTCTTAATTTTCGGCAATAAGGTGCATTGCAATTACTCCGACGGAGTTAGCTGCAATTTGCGGAGTAATATCTGGGGTTGATGTTTGGGGAACTTTTCTGCCATGCCGTCAATTTCAATGTTCTTCGGGATAATATTATATATGGATGTGTTTATACCAAAAAAATAGTTAACTCTTTGAAATCGACGATCACTGAAGTTTGATCAGTTGATTGGTTTTAATGAAGATGATACTCACATGGAGAGAATCGATAATTACATGGTGTGGCTTTCGTCAACAATATGGCAGTGGTTCATCATCATCACGCACACAATTTCCCAGATGTCAAAAAGCCGTACGATTCTCCTATCCGAAATAAACGCAGAACCCTTTTTTTGTACAAAAAATTAAAATCAAATTTTTGGTGAAAGATTGTCCACTGTTTAGGGAAAACCCATTTTTAGTGAAACGAGATGTGTCTAAATATGATGTGCTGCAACGAGTAATTAACTGCCTCTAATGTGTATTAATGCAAATTTAAGGACATCCTTTCGTAGCTATCATACAAAAAAGACATCAATCCGGCCCAAGTTCTTTGGTTGTTGACAAGACTAATCTAAGAACTTTAAATTCATCATTAGAGAGATGCTACTCAAATTGATAGCGTGTTCTTACTTTTAAGACTTAAATCACTCATGACATGTTCTCAGCCACGGTACATAACAAGTTCAGCGAACAACACACTTCCTCTGGCCTCGTGGCTTGAGTGCCTTTCTCTTAAACCCTAGGTCAGGAATTGGAAAACGGTATCGAGAGAGAAGAGGGAGAGATTTACTGTTCCACTGGATTCCATATTTCATATATGCATTGATGTTTCAAATACACATTTACAATAGGATAGTGACACCGCAAATACCTGAACTCTTACCCATTTCACAATCGAGTATCTAAACTTTTTTTTATCATTCAATCGAGTATTTCAAATTTTCAAATTGGGCTCAATGCGAGGCCTTCACTACAGTTGCGAACAGTAAATGTCAACCTGTACACTCCACCTCTCTCTTCATCACTCAACACCTACGTGGAGATGACATAGTTTTCATTGAGTAAGTGAGCCACATCGGCAATTGTACTTATTTGGTATTGAGTAAGCGAGTCATGTAGAAAAGTTGCGTGATGTGGTTATATTCTTTGTAACGAATGCCTCGTATTAAGCCAAATTTGAAAAGTTGTGGTAGCAAAAAATTATAAAACGGACAAATATTTCAAGTACTTATGATGTCATTATCACTTTATAATAAGAATGACATGCTTTCCTCTCCTGAACTTTTTAATCTTTAGCTAAAAATAGGACGTTTTTAAATTTTGTGTATGGTTTCTCCCTTAGAAAGTATTCTCAAGAAAGTTTGTAATAGATGGGTAGGCAACTGTAGCCTGAGAAATAGAGTGTGTTTGTAGAATGACTTTTACTTTTTATTTCTTTGTTAATATTGCATTTACACATGGCACTTTCTAAATTCGAAACACTCGAAAGCTTTCAAACTTCACACGTAGATTGACATATAAATCTTTTAAAATCTTTTGAAATTTGAATAATAGATAGAACTTTGGTGGAAACCATGAAAAATACATTCTGCTTATAAGAAGTCCAAACAGACATTGAAAATAGACCTGATAAATAGTAAGTTTAACATCTCAAGAGTGCTTCATTAGCTCGGTCAAGTAACAAAGTGCGATGAGAATTATTGCGGATCCGTTGTTCTTGGCTAGCCAGGGGAAAGAAAAACTAAGCTATGTTACTGATATCACATTGAATTAAGCACATCTAAAGTCAAATGTAATCTATATAGCTTGGACTTTGAGCGGTTGTATCACACAAGTTTTTAATCCACTAAGAACATTTAACTATCTTATTCCTAAGCATATGAAGGTATGCTACAATTAGTTTTGATGGTATCGCAAAGTACAGTCGTCGGAGAGAACTAGAGTTGTGGTTGCTCCTCAAAAAACTAGGACTGTATTTTGGCACTACCATATAATTTACAATCGTGAGTTTTATTCTTTAGTGGGAAAATGAATTGCAGTAAGTATCCATATACATAAATTATTGAAGGTGAGAAAAGAGATTCAGAAACAAGTACCCATCCATATGTAAAAAGCTCTTCTTTCCTGGCCTCTAGATCTGATAGTAAAGATGCCCACTGTAACAACTGTTCAATGATTCCAAAATCTTTTCGGAGTTTGAGATCTCCACATGATGATGAGTTATCCGAGCAAGTGAGCACGAACAACAACCGCAGAAGATTTTGCAGAAGTGGCAGATGATGTCCCTTATTTAAATTGATCATATCAAGGATTCGCTTGACTAGTCCTCTGTAATGGAAACACGGGAAATAAAAGCTCAAGTCTGAAAATCATGACATGGTGGTAGGAGAATAATTAACTATGGACTGCATTGTCCCATGATCAAAAAGATTCTGTCTTATTCGTAATCGGCACATGGAAATGGACGAAATAGGAGGCAAAAAGAGATTTTGGCAGATGATCATTGCACGTTCTGCTTAGGGCGAAGTAAACAATGCTGCGTTCACACTCATAAACCAGGAGCAGGATTGATTGTGTTTGCAAACCCTAGATCCTCGGTTCCAGAAAGCCATGTCCTGAAACTTTTTGTGTTCACACCTGATTTTCAGTTAAATAATCTGAGGCCAAGTAGTGATGATTTAGGGTTCTCTGGCACGCATGATGTTTATGTTCATGAGCTATTTATATGTACATCATTATCTTCCCTGCATTTCGATCATTCTACTGATGTTGTCTGGTCCAAAAATAATATCAATCGACACACTCATTATTCGTGTTCCAAAGGTCTAATGTAGATGTATGGCTTGTTTGACTGATGATGAACCCATTGGACACGATAATAATTTCTCGGAACTGATTACCTACAAGCTTCTCTCTTTTATTTGACGAGCTTTCGAGCTTACCTTGACCTTTGGATCAATATGGAATCAAATGGACTACAATCTCCGCTCGGTTCCGTAATTTAAGTGGGGGGCCCTGGCGGTGGGTTGCTGGGCTAGTCTTCCCCGAGGTATAGGTGCTCCGATTACCTGTGCGGGCTCGTCCCCTGGAAATGGTGGTGGATCCTCGGTTATCAAAAAAAAAAAAAAAAAAAGGACTACAATCCCTAGTTTCATTTGAAAGAAGCAAATGGTTAGACATTTTAATAATCTACTTTGCGCTGTAAAGTCATTTTTGTAGTTCTCCAAATAAGTACCGTGTAAAAACGATGACAGTTATAGATCCGCTCATGATATATCCAAGATTTTCAGTTGATGATATGTAACTTTCATATTGAGCTGTGTTCCAAGGACCTCACTCAGGTTGCAATCCATTGAATCACCCAACCTCACAAGTCAATATATCGACACTTAATTACTACTCTTATCGAAGAAAGATATCAGGTACCCAGGTTGCAAATGCACTTGGTGGATACTATGATGCCCCTTTTTAAGTTTCACTCAACTGATAATGTGTATACGATACATAACATATAAAGTATACTGGTTACATTTATTGAGCAAGTACATATGGGAGAACAAATTCAACACAATGGTTCGTGTCAATTGACATGGGTGTAAAAGACTATAGCTGATTCTAAGGTTAAATGTATGCAAAAAGGTATACGTCGCCTGAGAAAATGTAATTCTACACCACATGAATCCACTTTTATTTGTAAGTATGCCGTCGTAGGAATTCATCTGTAGGGCAGCATATCCAACATTCCTCAACGGCCATGACTATCTGCCATCAGATGCAACGAACAAACGAACAATGAATTGATCTTGTAGTTCGTAGACAACAATATTTGTGGTCCATAATGGAATAGAGACTAACGTGGAACACGTTCGGGCATGTTTCTTCAAAGCAGAATCCTTACAGCTATCCACTTGCAGATTCTTGCGCATCCAAAAGATAGGGCTTTGGTTGCAAGCTTAACTGGAGAAGGATACGTTCAGGCATGTCATCTTTAAACTGTATTGCTTGAGCACCAATCTTGCTCGTATCTTTACTGGAACTACTTTCGGCAGAAAACTGAGACAGAGGAACCGATTTGAAATATTGATAAGTTGGAAAAACTGTTGAGTCCAAATGTTGGACAATTACAAGAAAGCAGCATGATTCCAACACGGTGAAACCCTATCTGAGAAATTTCAAAGTCTTTTCTTGAGAAAAAAGAAAAAAATGTTTAGGTGTTTGTAGAAGCATGAGTTCCTTATCCATCCAACCGAATCATTGACGGTCATCATCGACTCGAGTCCAGGCAAGTCCTTCCCATGTCCAGGAGGGACTTGTCTATTATGTGACAAATAGTTCAAGCATTGTCCTTTATTTTGACCTTGGTAAAAGAAGTGATTTTGTAGTGAAGGCAAACAATTCCTTGATTGGTCTATGGGCTCTTAGGAAAAAAGTATGTACCTCCCCCTTTGATTCTCTATGATCTCGACTTCCGACTCTCAACTTCTTCCGCAATTCTACATTTTCTTGTTCAACATCATCAACCTGCAAACCCCTCAAGAAATCAATTATGTGCAAGGATGAAGCAATTCTATTTTAGGATCATGAGAGAGAGAGAGAGAGAGAGAGGGGATATTGTTTTCCATGCTAAACCTTTCTCTTTAACTCCCGCATTTCTTCCATGAAACTCTGGTCCTATGCAGATGAACAATAAGAAATTATCGTAACATGAGAATACAAAAGCATGCCGAGAACAAATCAAATAAAACTGAATCAGGATCTTTCTCACAATATCAATGATAGGGTCATCATGTATATTACCTTCCTTGAGCGGACATTTTTCAAACCCAATTCTAAGACATTTTCCAAATTTTTCAAGTCCTCCAAACTCAGTTTAGAAAGCTCTTCTCCCCTCAGTCGCCTGTGTGCTCGATCACGATCAAATTAATGGCAAATGCTCAATTTTTTGACAAAACATTCACGAAATACACTAATGAAATGCATTATTCTTGTGGCAAGGACCTCGAGTTTCACCGGCAAACTTAATTTATTTCATTTGTACATGATATTTCGGATTACCAATCCAAGAATGAACAGTTGTTTCGATTCATATATGTAGAAGAGGAAACAAGTACACAAACACATATATTTTTCCGCAGAAGGAAGATCATCACCTCATTTCTACACAATGCTCAACGATATCAACAGACATAACAAGAACATTAATGACATGATCCTCTGGTTGGAAAAGGTCATATTTGTTAACTGCATGTTCACTAGTGGTTACTTAAGACTTCAAATCTAGCCAACATTGTCAATGGAAACCCATTTACAATATCTTTCATCAAGTTTGGTTTTTCATTTACTTCAAAGTAAATTTGGGGGACAAAAATAATATTTAAGATGGTATGTTGACGTTAATATAAAGGTTACGTATGTATAGGCGAGAATCTCTATCATAGGTCGTCTTACTTTGATTTCCTTCACTTCCAAGTGTGATCCGAAGTTACATATTAAACTACTTGTAGTTACAGTATTAGTTAAGCTTAGCTTGCATAGCTTTTTGAAAACTCTGACTATATGCTGGTCATTTCCAGGTTGAATTAATCCTCATTTAAAAGGAAAAAACAACGTAACCCAGTCATTAAAAATGGGGTAAAGCAAAAGATGTACCTGTTGCATTCCTGCACACAGCTCAGCTGTTGCATCAAGCTATCCGCCTCCTTTTTAAAAAACTAATGGAGTAAAATTAGTGCACAGAATTGGACTCATGCAATTAATCATGACTTCTACATACGGATGCTGTATCAAACTTAAATTACTCTCTGATCCTTCACATTCTTACTCTGAATAGTACTAATCTAGCTCTCTCCGTTTTGTTTGCAAATTTGTAAGATAAAAATTGTTGGAGCTCGTAAAAACGAGAGGGCCTTTTATCTCATTTGAATATAAGATCACACGATTTACAAATCTATCTACTAGTTAAAGCTTCTAATATTGAGAGAGGGGCACAAGATTTCACTAGTATTGGAGTCAAGTTCAAATACTACATGCCCCCTTTTACGGCATAGATTATCTGGTTCATCTTATTTTTTATTCTCCAAGCTTCAAGTCCAAATCTTTATTCTAAATGCACTAAGCGGTGGTGCGTTAAATTAACATCTGACCATGCTCTACCTATATGTTGCTCAAGTTTTTAGATTAATATTAGCGTCCCCATAGAATTTTTCATATGGTATTGCCAATGGAGGTCTTAAATTTAGCCCAATTTATCTAGACCATCATTAGTTTGCATCCCTCATCAGAACTAACTTTCAGTTCTTTAATCTTTGGTCAAGAGCCAACATGCATGTGCCTAGAACATCTGAATCAAATTATGCCTCCATTAAAAACCATAATCATTTAGAAGGATTGGCAGTGATCTCACAATAGATACAAAGATCATACATATCTCGCGATAAGATATTTTAAAGCTCTGGGATATAATATAAGATAATTGTTTGGGTCTTCTCCATCATTGATTTGAATATCTTGTTAGTTCATGAACTTCCATGGGCAAGCGTTTGGCATGACTTAAAGTTGAACCTCCAATGCGGTTAAGCAAAAGAGAGCTTTAGTTTGTAGGTGTCAAGTGAAGTGTCAGCAAAAGAAATGATTAGCTATCGCCAGTTAGGGGGTACATGTGTGTTTTTACTTGGTCTTTGGCAATTACCTGGATCTCCGTGGCAGTAATTGATTGTTGCTGGTTAACTTGCTTCATTTTGTTGTAGCGTTCGATAACTGAATCCATGCTACAAAGACAAAACAAAAAAAAGAACAACTGCATGAGAATGCAAGAGTAGACATCGAGCTTGAAGAAAAATTAATTTCGTGACAATTTTTCAGAAGATTTGTCTTTTTTTTTTCCACAAAATTTGTACGGAATTATACGAGAACTTCTAAGTTTTAAGACAAAATCAAAATTCCCCCAGTTTAGCTAGCTAGCACAAATAATTAGCCCAAGGTAAATTGAGAATTGGAACTAATTGATGAAATTCAACTTTCGAAATACATTTCCTCCATATTTTATTACAATGGAGTATTATTAAAGATATTCAGGCTCTGTTCTTCACAGAAAACAAATGAATCTCGTTGAAATGATTGAACACACAAAGTCTATGTATTTTCAACCACAAGATTGAATTCTTTGATCTCGATCTTTAATAGAGGCTCCAATCAACTGGACTTAAAAGGGAAATATAGATCACCAATGGATTTCATATGTCCAATTTTTTCTACCAAAATTATTACACCTTTTCTTTTTCTTTTTATTGGGCACCAAAGAAAATTTATTTTGATGATGGGAAGAGAGAGCTTACCTGGTGCTTGCGTAGTCGTAAAGCTTGCCGGTGCAAGAGAAGATGATGACACCGATTTCAGCGTCGCAAAGAATGGAGAGCTCCTTTGCCTTCTTTATCAGCCCAGTCCTTCGCTTGAAGAAAGTCACTTGCCTGCTCTTCGAGCAATTAATCTTTCGGATCGCGATCTTCCCCTTCACCATTTTTGCTCCTCACCACTCGGAAACAAATCTTTCCAGATCAGGAGGGATGATGGTTCCTCTTTTCCAGGAAAAAGATGAGAAACAGATGATGGAAGAAGCTCGCCGAAACGAACGATGATGACCACAAACCAGCGCCTCGCTGAAAACCCTTTGTGATTTATAACCTTCAAGAAACAGAAGAAGACAAAAGAGAAAGATCAGTAGGACTCGCGAGTTCTTGGTTAGGTCTTAAATGGAGGCGTTTCCTTGTGAGGGAAGATTGAAGAAAGTCGTCGGTCGTCTTGAAAATGTTCTTCGTAGCTAAGGCTGCGATTTGAAGTGGGTTACAATGAGGGATAAAAAAACAAGAACAAAGAGCAAACTAAATTTATTCTAATGCTGGTCAGTTTTTTTTTAATGAGATGGGATTAGGTATCGCAAAGCCCATTGTGTTTTCTAAGGCTTTTGCATGAGGATCAGACGGCTAAGGTGGTGAAGAGAGACATAAAGAGATGTGTCAGTTTTAATGTGTGCAAAGGTCCACTTACCCTAGTGTAAGATATATTGTCTTTGACAACTTTTTTTAGCATTTGATTCGTATAAATAAATATGAAAAATGCCATTAACTCTGGACATTTTTCCCTAGTTCAAAATATAAAAAAAATGAAGAAAAATAGAACAAAAATGAAATGAAAAGGCATAAGGAAATATATATGTGGAGATTGGGGTGTTGTGGTATTAAATTGGATACAGTGATCTTAACTGTTGTGTGGCTTTAACTAAGGGAAAAGCCGAATGATTAGTTGATTCTACTTGGGGGAGGTGTTAACTCGGTTCTGCAAGATGACATGTCTTGTTCCGCACCATATGTTCACAATCTTGTACTGTTATATGGTGAAAGCATTATTTTGTGATCTGGTATTTCTCAAATGGTGGATTAACTATGCTTCTTTAATTAGTTGCAAACGACGTAAAACTGATCGAATTTGTTATTTTGCAATCAAAGCTAACCAATCGCTATCAGTAGCTTTAATACATGAAAATTGAATGATTTAGATCTTTCTTTCGACCATACTTCAGTTTTATTGAGTTCTACTCGAAATTTGATGCTAGATAATCACGAAAAAGCATATAGAAAATGAGATATCCAAGTTACGTAGCTTTACGTTCACAGTTGCAAAAATACGTAAATATCTTCGATTCTTGATTTAACATATACACTCATGTTTCAGAGCCATTGAATGCATCTAGGGTCAGGACGCATGAGGCATCCGGTCGTTGTTTAATAGGTGGATCCCCATGCATCCAATTAATGGGATATTTGATTCACGGTGAGCGGAAATCTAGCATTTCCCATTGGTGTTCCGGGTTCAAATATGGGAACCCTTTGCTTCGGCCGTCTCTAGAACTTCTAGCATATGGTGTATTCAATTTCCTATTTAGGGTTTTGCTTCTTTTTGGGGGGGTCTAGGAAAGTGGGATGGAGTTTCCAACTTGCTTGGCTCACTGCTCAAAACGGACCCTGAGATAAACAATGGAATCCTAATCTAATTTGACTTGTGAACTGGCCTTTGCCAGTTCTCCACCAGATGACTTCTTGCCAGCTTCTCTATACAACACTCCTCAGGGAAAGATTCAATCCCTCTAGCTTATTGTCTATGAGAACAAAGAATTTACCTTTAAAGCAACATGTTAGGTGTAATAGTATATATTGGGTCAATGTCGTGAACCGTGCCGAAAGCTCATGCGATGCGACTGCCGATTATAACTTGACTAAGTCATATGTATACAGTGATGTCGGTTTTTAAAATCATGTAAAATGATCGAAATGAGAAGCAGTAATCATACCACTTCAGCGGCATGAGACTTACCACCACATTTCAAATCGATGGTTGTCAAGCATGCATTAGGAACAATAAATGAAGGAATTGCTTCACGCATGTATTATTACCTCGTCCAATACCGCCCAGAGAAATTTGATTCCCCATTCTGCTGTACTCAATATACATGTTGGATATCAAAGTATATATATAATATAGATCCACATGTACACTCATATGTGTGTGTGGATGTCTTAAGTTGCCTTTCCTTAAATAGAGGCTTTTCCACATTTGGTTTGAAGTAATTTAAAGGAAATGGGAGAGTTGGGTGCTGTCTTTGTCTCTTGAGTGGCAAGACACTTTTGGCAAGAACGTGAGAAGACTCTAGATCTTAATTATAAAGCGTGGTCATTGGCAGCGATTTTAAGACAGGAGGCAAAATCATCCCCGGCTAGATAAAACCTGCAAGTATTATTTTACAATTTATTTCTGCTCTATCTTCAGATGAACCTTGTTGTTATCGAATGGTATGATAAGTTTCTGACCCGTTTTTTTCACTAGAGGGTGGTCCATTGATTCCTTATTTGTCTCCACTGTTGTCTCAAACATAAAATTAATCGTTAGTGCACTCACTTTGTGCCATCATTAGGTCTTTCGAGTCATCTTACTTTGTTTCCCGCCAATTCTTGTCTATTTGCATATTCAAATTAAACACAAAAACACCTCTTAGGACACCTTTAATCACATATTAAAAATTCATGGAAGTTACCAAAGAAGTCCTAAACATATTGCATTTGTACCGGTTCAGTCCTAAACCTTTTGACAATTTGCCAATGAAGTCTATCCGGCCAATTTTGGCTTGATATCGTTGACGTAGATACCGACCGTCCTACATGGCAGAGCCGGCGCTAACGTAGATAACTTTTAGAAAAATTTTAAAATTTTTCCTTTTTTTAATCTTTCCATTTCTTTCCCTTTTTTTTTTGGCAGTGATCGGTCGCCGGCCATTGCACATAGGTGATGGTCGGCGAGACGCCCCCTCACCAAATCTAGCTAGGTTAACCCTCGCCATGCCTCGCCCTTGCCCATGCGATGCCCGGCGAGGTGACCTTAGCCTAGGCAAGGGTCGACCTCACCAGATCTGAAGAGGGAGGCCCTCGCTGGCACTCACCCTAGGCTTAACGAGGCCGACTATAATGCTTCGAAACATCATGTGCAGCACATTCTTTTTCGATTATTACACGTAATTACTATTGGCATGCGGAAGGACAATAAAATTTACACAACATACCATATAATAAATCGCATGAGTTTAATATACATATGCCTCATCTTTTATAAAAACTTCAGAAGTTGCTATCATTATATAGTGGCCAAACAAAGTACAAATACAACACATTACATAAGTCTTGAGAAAGGTCGAGGTCACCTATCATCGACACACCACTCCAACACCCAAAAACTTGGTTGTACGAGGCCACACTTCTAAATTACAGATTAACAACCTCACCCCGACAAGCCATCGTTGTCGAAACTAGGGGGCCCATAGAAACCTCCAAGTGGTCCAACAAACTCCTCGTCAACCCATATCACAGAAATGCACTCAGTATAAACTACGGCTGGTTCGGGTATAAACATATCGTAATAATTACAACGAAAATAAGCAGAAACTCCAAACTGGCATGGTGGAGGGCGATCCATCCTACAAATTTGAAAAAGAAGGGGTGAGTCCAATTTAGTAAATGAGATCTCTAAGTTTAAGGTATGAGATCATCTCACTACTCAATTTAGTACTAACAAACAACGTGAGTTTAAGTAAAGTGCAGAATAACTATAAGAGGCAATTGAATGAATAAATGCACTATTCTTTCCTATCATTACATGTTAATGAAAACCATTAGCAACGTTACACAAGATTATTCACTCAAATGCATGCGGATGGCATAATATATTACAATGCACAATTTTCACCAATTAGTTCATTAATAGACATGCATCATATCCGTTATTAGCATGTCATTTCATCCAAACTCTTAGGGCATCTAGACACACGAGGCATATTGCCTCCCGAGACATCCCGAACACTCTCGGGGCATCCCGACACACTGGGCATCTCACCTCCCAAGGCATCCCGAATACTCTTAGGGCATCTCGATACAAGGGGCATCTCAGCTCCAGGGCATCCTGACTCATGGGCTTCTCAACTCTGAGGCATCGTCACCACCAATATGTGGGCGACGGAAATAATTTTCATATTATTTTCCATATTTAATCACATAGCAACAATGCATATGATAACATTATAATCATATGATCACCCTTGAATCAACAACGAAACCAACGTTCTTTTACATCCGGTACACATCATATTTTCATGCAAATCTCTTCCAAAACATACTTACCTTGCTCTTTCATCTAATCACATAAGAGGTGATAACATTCTTACCTCCTTTCTATTCTCATGAGAGCAATATTAACAGATTCAAAAAACCGACAAATGTGTAATATTGACCAGTGGCTAAAACTAACAAGTAGGTATAATCGACAAGTGGATATAATGGATAGGTAAGTACAATTGACAAATATATATATATATATATAACTAACAAGTGGGTATAATCGACAAATGGGTATAGTTGACCCGTGGATATAATCAGCAAGTACGTGTACCCGGCAAGTGAGTATAACCAATAAGTGAATATAATCGGCAGGTGAGTATAAGCGGCAGGTCACTATAAATGGCAAGTGTGTATAGCTGGCGAATGGGTATAAACGGCAAGTGGATATAAGCTACAAGTGAGTATAAGCGGTAGGTAAGTCAAGCTTGCGTAAATAACACTTTCAAGCCTAATATCGTCATTTTCGCATACAACTTGCTACCACAACTCAAGGAAATCAATCAAAACATCTCAAGGTCATTGCAATATCGTAACTTGCCATTATTGACTCTTGCTTAACATCAAATTCAAACTAAATTAACAAACATCAACTAACCAAGTCAAAAGTATTAAGTTTATCAATCTACTTAGCCCCTAGAGTTTTTTACTTACCTTGAACAAAACTTGGACAAAACAAAACTTTAACCACCTTTAAAGCAAGATAAGCAAAAACAAAGATTAGCATCTTTTTATCTTTTAACAAAACTTGTTTAAGAAAAGAGAATAAAGTTCACCAAATCACATTGTGACTCTTGAAAGATGGAATTTCAAAGCTTGGACAACACAAGTATGAAATTTTTGCTTTTAAATCGAAAGAGCAGAAAGTGAAAATAGAAGATGAAAGTGACAGGAGATCTCCCTTTTCTTTGCAAGAACAAGTTGGAATTCTTTTGAAACTTAAAGACATAAGGAGATACGGTTATACAAGCAAGGGAGATAAGAACAAGTAATGAAGATTAAAAAAATGATGACTTGAGGTTAAAAAGTGCTAGGTGGAGAATGCAAGAG